AAACCCTAAAACCCTAAAACCCTAAAACCCTAAAACCCTAAACCCCTAAACCCCTAAACCCCTAAACCCCTAAACCCTAAACCCAAGCCCGAGGCCGCCAGCCCAGTGGTACCCTATTGCCCTGTTTGGGTTGGGCTCTGGGCTCCCAGAATTTTTCGGTAGCCAACACCCATGTGCGGCCCGATGTAGGGTTTAGCGTTTAGGGTTTAGGGTTTAGGGTTTAGGGTTTAGGGTTGGAACAGGGCAATAGGGATTGGGGTTTAAAGGGTCTAGGGATTTGGTGATTTGGGGCTGTTCTCAGGGAATGGGGGGGAGGAAGAGGGGGAAGTTCCTCGTTCAGAAGATTTGTAACTTTGGGGTCAAGGGCCTCAAGGGCGGCAGCGACAGGAGTCCTCCTGTCACAAGGCAACTATAGGGGGGGCTTGGATTCAGAAGAGGCCCCCGCGAACTGGGGTCCTTTGCAGAAGAGGCCCCCGCGAACTGGGGTCCTTTGCGTTTAGGGCTCAGGGTTTGGGGTCTATATAGGTTTCAGGGTTTAGGGCTTAGGGTCCCTAAACCCCCCCCTAAACCCTATAAACCTTTACCCTATACATCCCCGCACCCGAAATGTTGCCATCAACTGAGAGGCAACTCCCTGCGCTGCCATTGCCACATGGCCGGAGAGGGCAATAGAACAGGGGGATGGCGGAGATCTGGGAGTTTAGGGTTTAGGGTTTAGGGTTTAGTGTTTAGGGTTTATGGTTTAGGAGGGTTCGGGATTTGGGGTTGGGCTTCAGGACCTTGAACCCTGAACCCTATTTGGCCATGTATGACTCTATGACTGTAGTTGCCTGCTCACAATCTCTGGTATCAGTCTCCAAGTAGGTTGTTCCTACACCCTATAAACATCTAGAACCCGAAACCCTAAACCCTAAATCCTCTGAAGAATACTGAAGCTTTTTGCTTGACCTCCTCCCGTTTGAGTCCGCATTCGCGAGATGTAGGGTTTATTGGGTTTTGGGCCTTGGCGGTTTAGGGTTCGGAAGGTCGGGGTCTGGGGTTTAGGGTTTAGGGTTTAGGGTTTAGGGTTTTAGGGTTTAGGGTTTAGGGTTTAGGGTTTAGGGTTTAGGGTTTAGGCCGGTCTTGTGAGCGTGGCCGAGGCCCTCTGCTAAAGCATTTAAGGGTCAGTCAGGGCTTGAGTTTGTCTGAGTCTTCTGGCTTTAGGGTGTGTTTCTGTTGTTGGGGGGGGGAAGTTTTTTTTCCTTATGAAGGTGGTTTGCAATAGGTAGTGCTTAGGGAGTTGAATGTTTTTTTCAGTTCAGCGCTTACGGCCCCCTGGAATTCCCGGACAGCCACTTCAACAACACAGGCCCTGCAACCTTAAACCTTAAACCTTAAACCCTGAACCCAAAACCCTAAACCCTAAACCCTAACCCTAAACCCTAAACCCTAAACCCAAAACCCCAGACCCTGCAACAGCGAGGTCTGCGGCCGAGCTCCAGGCTGTTCGTGCGGCTTTCCTGGCGCCACGGGGCACAAGCGTAAAGCTTTTTTTGGGGGGAGGGGGTGGGGGGGCGGCCTTTTTCGGGTTTTAGAGTGGTTTAGGGTTTGGGGTTTAGGGTTTAGGGTTGAGTCTTGTGGGTCTGGGGTTTGGGGTTTGTTTGTTTGGGGGGGGGGGGGGGGGGTTTGTAGGGTTTCGAGGGTTTAGGGTTTGGGTTCTTATGGGTTTACAATCCATGGTGGAACTGGTTGACTGAGCCAAAGCAGAACCTCCCTTGCCCTTGCAGAACCTACATTCTGTGTAGGGTCTTTGCTTGACAATGTGTCCCGAAACCCTAAACCCTACTTGCAGGGAAATCCTGGAACACGAAACCTTAAACCCTACAGCCAGAAGCCCTGAATCCCAGACCAAACAGCCCAAGCCTCAATGCGTCGAAAAGGACAGGTTGAACCGCTTGCACACAGCCACACGGAAACTAAACCCTAAACCCCTAAACCCTAAGCCCATAGTAAGCCCTAAGCCCTAAGCCCTAAACCCTGAACCTAAACCCTAAAACCTAAAGCAGGGAAAACAAAACAGGCGAAGCGAGAAGACAATCAAGAAGCCCCAACAAAAAAACTCAAAGCTCGATCCCGAAGCACCACCCCCCCCCCCCCCCCCCCCAGCCTCGGCAAACCCTAGAAGGGTCTCTGCTTCGGGTTTAGGGTTTAGGGTTTTTAGGGTGTTTAGGGTTTTTTGGGTTTTAAGGTTTAGGGTTTGTAGGATTTAGGGTTTATAGGGTTTAGGGTTTAGGGTTTAGGGTTTAGGGTTTAGGGTTTAGGGTTTAGGGTTTAGGGCTACGCTTTTGGGTTTAGGGTTTAGACTTCACCCCCTGCAAAGCCCTCGAAGGAAAGGCGCCTCCTTGGCTGCGGACGGCACCGACCCAGAGTGCTCCATTTGCATGGTGGCCGCTTCGTCTCGCCAGAGCTGCTGGTTCTGAGTAGGTTTGGGGTTTAGGGTTTAGGGTTTAGGGTTTAGGGTTTAGGGTTTAGGGTTTAGGGTTTAGGGTTCAGGGCTCTTTTGGCGGGCCTTACTTGTATGGGTTTAGGGTTTCAGGGTTTCAGGTATTTTGGGTGGGCGGCTGGTTTGAAAAAGGGGTGCCCAAACCCTAACCTAAACGTGAAACTTGTAGGGTTTAGGATGTAAAATGGCGTCTAGGGTCTACGGGAAGGTTGAGTGTAGGGTTTAGGCCTAAACCCTAAACCCTAAACCCTAAACCCTAAACCCTAAACCCTCAACCCTAAACCCTAAACCCTAACCCCTAAACCCTAGACCCTAAACCCTAAACCCTAGGCTCCAGGGTCTAGGGCACGGTTGAGCTGAGGGTGCTGTAGCGTTTAGGTTTTAAGGGTTAGGGCTGAGTCTTCTGAACCCGAAACCCTAGACCCTAATCCCTCAACCCTATATCCCATGAGGGTGATGTTTAGTGTTTGGGGTCTAAAGGGTTTGTAGGATTTGGGGCTGAGGATTCCGGGGCTTATGCTTTGGGGTTTAGGGCTTGTGGCTCAGGGCCCAAGATTGGGTTAGGGTTTATGGTTTGGAGTTCAGGGGTGGTAGGGCTTGTAGGGTTGATTTTGTTCTTCGCTTTCCCTCTCTGGGCACCGCCCCCCCCCCTCCCCCAGAGAATCGGGCAAGCCACGAGGAGGGAGATGTCCGGCCGTGCGCCCACCATAGTTTTTAGGGTTTAGGGTCAGCCCTTGGGATGTTTCCCCTTATATGAACAGTCCTGAATAGGGATTATACTAGAATCCTTCTGAAGGACCGTTAGTATGAGGGGGAACATCCCAAGTTAGCCCAACATCCGAACATCCCTGCTTGCACCGCTTAGTTAGATGAAGCCCCAAATTCCGCTTAATGGTCTACGTCTTGGCTATAGCCCAACCCTCAGCCCTAAGCGCTACAGGGTTCAGGGTTTAGGGTTTAGGGACCCTAAACCCGAAGCCGTAAAGCCGAAACCCTGTAACCCATCGATGCTCTCAGCCAACCAGGAGATGGCTCCTGAGGAGGATGTCATATGCCTGCCTTGCGACTTGCCTTTAAGGGCTTAGGGTTTGGGGTTTGTGTTTCAGGGTTTAGGTTTAGGGTTTAGGGTTTGGGGTTTAGGGTTTGAGGTTTAGGGCTTAGGGTTTAGGGTTTGGAGTTTAGGGTTTAGGGTTTAGGCTACGCACCTGAAGGCTCGAATATTTGTAGTTCTTCCTCGGGGTCAAGTTATGTAGCTCTCCTTTTGTCTTATAAGTACAACTATCCCAGACTCTAAACCCTAAACCCTAAACCCTAAACCCTAAACCCTAAACCCTAAACCCTAAACCCTAAACCCTAAACCCTAAACCCTAAACCCTAAGCCCTAAACCCTAAACCCTAAACCCTGGGGTTGAGGCTTTAGGATGGAACTTTCCCTGTCCGCAGTACAGCCTTGAACTCTTGACATGGCGAAGCTCTGAAATGCTGACCCTTGCCGTCTGAAGCTGGGGGGGGGGGGGGGGGGTTAGGGTTTTTAGGGTTTAGGGTTTAGGGTTGGGTTTAGGGTTTAGGGTTTAGGGTTATAGGGTTATAGGGTTATAGGGTTTAGGGTTTAGGGTTTAGGGTTTAGGCTTTTTTAGGGTTTAGGCTTTGGATTTCTTTGTTGCCTAGGCTCCAGGGCCTCTAAGGTCTAGCTTACCCTTAGAGCAGGCTTAAAGCATCCCTCACAAACCATGTGTAAAGCCCGTGATCGGTCGTCCCCGGAACCAAACTCTCCGACCGGTAGACCCAAAGCCATGTGGTTAGCCCTATAAGCCCTACAAGCCTCCGTGGGCCTATATGGCCTGTAAACCCTACAAGGCCCTAAACCCTAAACCCTAAACCCGTCCAGTCTACAAATCCCGTATGCCAGGTAAACCCACTAAGCGAGCCCACTGAGCCCTAGCCCTAAACCGGCTGACAAAACCCAGAACCTATGCTAACCTATACCCTAAACCCGTATGAACCCCAACCCGTATCAACCCCATAAACCCTCAACCCTCAAGAACATAAGACCCTGAATTTTAACCCTGGTAAGCCCTAAACCCCAAACAACCCTAAACCCTAGCCCCAAACCCTAAACACCCAAGACCCAAGACCAGGTTGGCAAGCGGCGTCTCCATCCGACGCGTCGCCGACAACAGGCCCGGACCCTGGAAACTTGGAGTGCCTGGCAGCGCAAGGTTGTTAGGACCCTAAGGGTTTAGAGGGTTGAGAGTGAGAGGGTGTAGGGTTAGGACCCTCAACCCCTATAGGAGCCTTCAAGGCTACGCTAAGCCATAAGCCCAAAACCCTGAACCCTGTCGATTCCTACCATGTGTAGATCAGAAGGCCAGGTCAGCCCCAAATCCTAGATGATTCCTGTGTGCGAAGTCTTCATAGACGACCATCACCACGGCCGCGGCTGCTTTGCTCAGCACCAGCTCGAGAGGTTTGCAGGCCGCGCTAGTCCCAGCCTTCCCCACACTTCGCCGACTTCGCCATGGCGGACCAGCTGACTGAGGAGCCACGTCGCTGTCTCTTGTAGGACGCGGTAGGGCGGTAGTCTCTGTGCCTGTAGGACGCGGTAGGGCGAGGTATAGGGCATAGGGCTTCTATATCTAAGCGTCGTTGGAAAAGGGAGGCAGACGTGGGTTTTTTGCCGTTGTCTGCGCAAGATTCACGGGCGATGTGATGAAGGAGCAGATCGCTGAGTTCAAGGAGGCCTTCTCCCTCTTCGACAAGGATGGCGATGGAACCATCACCACCAAGGATGGGCTATGATGGGCTGCTGTCTTGCGCCCTTGGGGGGTTTCTTTCTGAAAGGCTACGGTGACTAAAGTGGCTAGAGAGAGAGATCGGTCAGGTGTTGTTCCTGTTCTGTGGTGTGTAGAAGTCTCACATGCATTGAACAACTGAAGAGGAGCTGGGGACCGTGATGCGCTCGTTGGGCCAGAACCCCACGGAGGCAGAGCTGCAGGACATGATCAACGAGGCGTGCGCCCCAGGAAAGGGTGGGAGTGGGCTGGCGTCCACACGAGCTACATTGCTACATGCAGTAAAGTGGTGGACAGTTCTTTCGTTCAGGGTCGGCAAGGGGTGCAAGAGACACCAAAAAAAGAAGAGCTCTGAAAGCAGAGTGATCTGAGGTGGACGCCGATGGCAACGGCACTATCGACTTCCCTGAGTTCCTGTCCCTGATGGCTCGCAAGATGAAGGCCTCCGAAAGTTTATAGCCAGCCGAGCCTCTCTCGGAACAGCTCCGATTTCTGAGCCTACCGGCAGCCTACCTTTGTTCAGCACAAGAGCTCGCAGGACACCGACACGGAGGAAGAGCTCATCGAGGCGTTCAAGGTCTTCGACCGCGATGGCAACGGCTTCATTAGCGCAGCAGAGCTGCGTCACGTGATGACCAACCTGGGCGGTTGCCTGAGCGGTTCCAGAGGGGTGGGGGCTGGGAGCATGACCTTTTTTCTTGATGTTCGCACTGCTTTTTCACCAGCCTGCTACCAGTAGCGTAGGACATCTCAGAGAGTTCTATGGATGAGGTGAGAAGCTCACGGACGAGGAGGTCGACGAGATGATCCGCGAGGCTGACGTGGACGGTCCTGGCCTGAGTCTCCCCGAAGTCACACTGTCCATGTCCGTCTCTGCGCCTTCCTTTCACCGTGACCTCTTGTCCCGGTGAGAATCTTCGAGCCAGGCGATGGTCAGATCAACTACGAGGAGTTCGTGAAGATGATGATGGCCAAGTGAGGCGTCGAACGTGATGCCTGCACGTAGAAGGCGCTGGCAGTACCCGAATTCGGCCTGCGCAGCGAATTCCCGCTCGAAGCTGTATCATGCATCGCGACTGTGCAGTGGAAATAATTCTGCAGCACTGAGGCAGCTGTACGAGGTAGTTTGTCCAGGAATCCTGAAAGCTTTGCGAAGCAGATGGATGTTTTTCTGTTGTGCGTCTGCGGAGTCTTCAGAGATGCTTATAAGCCCCGAAGATCGAGCACGACGATCCCCAAAGCGAAGGAAACCGCGCGGCTGCTTTGCTCAGCACCAGCTCGAGAGGTTTGCAGGCCGCGCTAGTCCCAGCCTTCCCCACACTTCGCCGACTTCGCCATGGCGGACCAGCTGACTGAGGAGCCACGTCGCTGTCTCTTGTAGGACGCGGTAGGGCGGTAGTCTCTGTGCCTGTAGGACGCGGTAGGGCGAGGTATAGGGCATAGGGCTTCTATATCTAAGCGTCGTTGGAAAAGGGAGGCAGACGTGGGTTTTTTGCCGTTGTCTGCGCAAGATTCACGGGCGATGTGATGAAGGAGCAGATCGCTGAGTTCAAGGAGGCCTTCTCCCTCTTCGACAAGGATGGCGATGGAACCATCACCACCAAGGATGGGCTATGATGGGCTGCTGTCTTGCGCCCTTGGGGGGTTTCTTTCTGAAAGGCTACGGTGACTAAAGTGGCTAGAGAGAGAGATCGGTCAGGTGTTGTTCCTGTTCTGTGGTGTGTAGAAGTCTCACATGCATTGAACAACTGAAGAGGAGCTGGGGACCGTGATGCGCTCGTTGGGCCAGAACCCCACGGAGGCAGAGCTGCAGGACATGATCAACGAGGCGTGCGCCCCAGGAAAGGGTGGGAGTGGGCTGGCGTCCACACGAGCTACATTGCTACATGCAGTAAAGTGGTGGACAGTTCTTTCGTTCAGGGTCGGCAAGGGGTGCAAGAGACACCAAAAAAAGAAGAGCTCTGAAAGCAGAGTGATCTGAGGTGGACGCCGATGGCAACGGCACTATCGACTTCCCTGAGTTCCTGTCCCTGATGGCTCGCAAGATGAAGGCTTCCGAAAGGTTCAGCCAGCCGAGCCTCTCTCGGAACAGCTCCGATTTCTGAGCCTACCGGCAGCCTACCTTTGTTCAGCACAAGAGCTCGCAGGACACCGACACGGAGGAAGAGCTCATCGAGGCGTTCAAGGTCTTCGACCGCGATGGCAACGGCTTCATTAGCGCAGCAGAGCTGCGTCACGTGATGACCAACCTGGGCGGTTGCCTGAGCGGTTCCATAGGGGTGGGGGCTGGGAGCATGACCTTTTTTCTTGATGTTCGCACTGCTTTTTCACCAGCCTGCTACCAGTAGCGTAGGACATCTCAGAGAGTTCTATGGATGAGGTGAGAAGCTCACGGACGAGGAGGTCGACGAGATGATCCGCGAGGCTGACGTGGACGGTCCTGGCCTGAGTCTCCCCGAAGTCACACTGTCCATGTCCGTCTCTGCGCCTTCCTTTCACCGTGACCTCTTGTCCCGGTGAGAATCTTCGAGCCAGGCGATGGCCAGATCAACTACGAGGAGTTCGTGAAGATGATGATGGCCAAGTGAGGCGTCGAACGTGATGCCTGCACGTAGAAGTTGCTGGCAGTACCCGAATTCGGCCTGCGCAGCGAATTCCCGCTCGAAGCTGTATCATGGATCGCGACCTTGCTCTGGAAAAATCGGTTCAGCTGCACGTTGACATGGTTCATCGCACTTGTTCGCCTGCTTGCTTGCCTAGCTCAATCAGCCTACTGGGTATGAATAGCAGTTAAAGCCCTAAGCCCCTAAACCATTGATACTTAAACCATTGAACCCCAAATGGGTAGTCGTGGACTGGGATGCCCAGTAGTACCCAGGCCCAGTACCCTTATTCCCTTTTTGGGGGGTCTAGGTTCCCTTAGAAACCCCTTTGAAGCAAAACACGGCGCCCTTTGTTAATCCTAGGTTCCTGAGCAACCTAGCCCTAAACCCTAAACCCTCAACCGCCTAAACCTCAAACCTTAAACCCAAACCCCAAACCCCAAACCCCAAACCCTAAACCCTAAACCCTAGACCCTAAACCCTAAACCCTAAACCCTAAACCCTAAACCCTAAACCCTAAACCCTAAACCCTAAACCCTAAACCCTAAACCCTAAACCCTAAACCCTAAACCCAACATACTGGGCAACTTTCTGGAACTGATGGCAGGGAGCCCCAGTGCCGAAGGAGGTCCCACAGCCCGTGGCCACATCTTCCACGCGCCGCTTGGGCTTGGCACGGGTAAACCCCAAACCCTAAACCCTAAACCCTAAACCGTAAAACCCTAGCCCTAAACCCTAAACCCTTGAGAGGGCAGAGGGCTTATAGGGCTTACGGTCCCTGGAGAGGGTTGGGACTGCCTTAGGGTTTTGTGTTTAGGTTTAGGATGGTTTAGGATTTGGGGCGCTGCTTTAAGGCCCAGGGGCGCTTACTAACTAATTCGCTGGATTTGGGGTTCTACGCAAATTTGTAGTTGTGGCAGCCGACATGAGGCCAGTTCGGGGGAGCATGAGTCAAGCTTTCTCATAGCTTGTTGGCACATCCCATGAACCTGCACTGCGACCACTCGTACGACCCATAACCACCAGATTTTTTGAAAGATTGCGAGGTCACGGTTTAGGGTTTTAGGGTTTAGGGTTTAGGGTTTAGGGTGTGTGCAGTTTAAAGTACATTCATTCCTTGTTTCAAAGGGTCTTGGGGCTACCCTGCAGCTGCACATAGCAGATGCTTTCCGAAGGAAGTGGCCCGTCGGCTACAGGGAAGGCTTTCAGAACGCCTTCTTCAAGCCTTTGAAGCACCGAAACCCTATAATTACCCTGAACCCTAAACCCTAAACCCTAAGCCCTAAGCTCTAAGCCCTAAACCCTAAACCCTAAACCCTGAACCCTAAACCCTAAACCCTAAACCCTAAACCCTAAACCCTAAACCCATCATTTGCGTTGACAGGCAGTTGGCAATTTTACGGCAGAGGGCTTGGGGTCCGAAACCCGAAGCCAGAACAAAAGCCACCTGAAGGCCAAACCCGAAAACAGAACCATAACCCTAAATCCAACCCCAAGAATCCGTTAAAGCTTCGTTTTTTCGTCCTTGTAATTCTCCCTAAGCCCTGAGCCCTGAACCCTGAAGCCTAATTCTTTTCTTCGTCTTTGAGACTCTCAAGCCGACAACCTCTCAGTTCCCAGGCAGTGTCTAGACCGCTGGCTACTCACCAAAGCAGGCCAGGGAGGGTTTAGGGTTTCGGGTTTAGAGTTTAGGGTTTGGTATTTAAGTTAGCAAGAACTCGAAAACTCACTAAGCCCACCCTGACCTCCTCGATTAAGGATCTAGGACCCAGAGTGATACAGGGGTTTAAGGGTTTAGGGTTTAGGGGTGTGTAAGGCTCGGTATAGTTACTAAGTATTCCTTTATGGTCAGTTTATGTTTGTACTCTAATAAGCCCCCGAAACCCTATTCAATCATTAAGGGCACCCTTTTATTCCTAGGTACTCTTGGGTCTAGGGAGTTGAATGCTTCATCCAAAGCTTATAGGGTTTTATAGGGCTTGATAGACGTTTTTTATAGGGGTTATGGGGTTCTTTGTAGGGTGTTTTGGGTTTGTTTTGTAACTGCGGTTTTGGGAGTAGGGGTCGCCACCATACAACGCTGAGTACAGACATGATCGTCTCGAATTGTGTCGCGGTCCCTAACCCTAAACCCAATCAAGACACCCCTATAAGAAAGTCTGTAAAGCCTTGGAAAGCCCTCTAAAGCTCCAAACCCTTGGACCAAGCCGCAGTTCATGCACTTGGCCTATCAATTTCAACCCTAAGCGCTATATCCTTGAACCCTAAACCCTAAACCCTATATATCCCAAACCCTCAATATCCCTAAACCCTATATCCAGAACCCTAAACCCTATATCCCTAAACCCTACACCCTGTATCCCTATCACCCTATAACCCCTGAAGCCCAACTTCGTCGCACCCCCGCCCAAGACTTGCAAGGCGCGTGCCCCATCTGCCGCTGCGGTGTCCGCCAGCTTGCACGTCTGCCCCCGAGCTCCTCCTGCCCAGACTCCTGGGAAGGTTTAGGGGTTTAGGGTTGAGGGGTTAAGGTTGAGGGTTTATGGTTTAGGTTTAGGGTTTGGGGTGCCTCAGAATCATCCAATAGTAGTATAAGGTATGTACTATTTGGGGGTTTTACTTGTCAAATGCAGCCCCGAGCTGCTTTTAAGGGGGTCTACAGGGCTTACATCGATTAGGGTTCAGAGTTGGTAGGTTGTAGGGTTCAGAGTCGGTAGGGTTTAGGGTTGAGGGTTAAGGGTTTTGGGTTTACTGGGACACTCTGGTCACCTGAGGAGAGTTTCATGGGCCCTTAATATGGTTCCTAACCTCCTTTAAAGGGTTCTGATGTAATTACGGGCCCCCAGTTTGCATAGTAGGCGGTATATAAGGGGTACCCTTTTAAGGGCCCATATCAAGGACCATGTAACTAACCTTAGGCTTCAGGGTTCGCCCGTAGACTTCAGGGTTCGTAAGCCCTAAACCTTAATCACAATTAGGGTTTAGGGTTTAGGGTTTAGGGTTTAGGGTTTAGGGTTTAGGGTTTAGGGTTTAGGGTTTAGGGTTTAGGGTTTAGGGTCCTACCATCACCAAGAATCTTGGATGAGCTTTCGCACAAAACAAACAGGACCCCTCAAACCCAGAAGCTCGAACCCTCCTCCCCCCTTCCCCGACAACCCTCACAAATGGCGTGAGGGGTCTAAAGAACCCCTCGAAGCCCCCCTCCCTCATCCCCGAAATGCTGCCTAGCAGAACTCCAGTGATTCTCCGTATACAGCCCTCGAACCCGTACGAACAATGACACCCAACACTCCGACGAACCCCCTCCTGTTCGCTCGCAACTACAATCTGAAACCCGAACGTGTCACCCTAAAGCACTTATACTACCCAAGCCCATCAAACGAATCCCTCCTCCAGCCTTGAGAAACCTAGAAGAAGTTCCAAGGAAACCCACTAAGCCCCTACAAAACTCCTTCTAACCCTTTCGGTCGAAACCCTTGTAGACCTTGGGCTCTAAAGCCCCAAACCCTCAACCCCTAACCCTTAAACCCCTAAGCCCCTAAACCCTACACCAAACGTAAAACCCCCTTGAAACCTTCTTCAAACCCCCTTTGAAACCCCCTTAACACCCTCTTAAAGCCCCCTACAGTCCCTAAAAAAACCCTATGACAAACCCCCTAAACCCCAAAGCCCTAGCTAAACCCTAAACCCAGACCCTAAACCCCAACCCTAAACCCTAGACCCTAGACCCTAAACCCTCACACCCTAACCCCCCCTCAGGCGCCGCGGCGGCCCCGAGCCCAAAGTCGGCGCCGGCGCCGCGGCCGCCGAGGCCGCCGCCCCGCGCGGCGCGGGGCGCGCGCAGTGCGCGGTCGCCACCCGGGCGTCGAAGGGTTTAGGGTTTAGGGTTTAGGGCTTAGGGTTTAGGGTTTAGGGTTTGGGGTTTGGGGTTTCGGGTTGGGGTTTGGGGTTTGGGGTATAGGGTTGTAGCGAGCTTGGCATTTTCGACGGGCATCAGGAGGGCTTATGTTTGTGGAAGAGCTTATCCCGCCCAGCCCGGCCCTAGCTACCTCGACTTGGTCGTCGTGTTTGTCGGTCGGTCACGCGAACGTCCGCCAGCCGCCCATCTCGTTGAGATCTCCAGGAAGACGGCCAAGACCGCCAGCCAGCCGGAGCAGGAGGAGCCCCTCCGCCAAGCGCCAGGAGCGGTGCCGGCGGCAAGGCGCGCAAGGCGACAGGAACATTTGCCGCGCGAAGGCGCAAGGCCGCCTTCTGTCTTGCCCCGCCGTCGCTGCGGGGCGGAGGGGGGGGGGTGGGCGGGGCGAGGGCGGGGAAGAGACCCCAAAGAGGAGGTTTAATTTAAAGCATTATGGTATGAATTTCGTTAATTTTTTTTGGTCGTTTGGCATTCCAAAACCAAGTCAAGCACGTTGCTGCGCATTTTTTATTGTATGCTTTACTATAATTACAGGGGCGGCGGCCTTGAAAAGACCCAAGTTTAAACATTTAAAAACACAATTAGGACGGTGTATTGCAGAGCAACTATTGGTCATCTACTTGCTTGTTTTCTCTTTGGGGCGGGTAGTCCCTTCACCTGGAAAGACAAACATGATCCTTTCGGGTGAGGGGTCTTAGAGACAGTGTAGAAGCGAAATTAGAACAGAAGGTCACGGAGTAATGTACGTTTTGAAGTCATAACATCAGACTGTCTTGTCTCTATTTTCGTTGTTTCCCTTCGTTTGTTTTTAGGAATACTTGTTGCTGGCATTCTGCTCTTGGGGTTTTTGCTGGTGTAGAATCCAGGTCGACGTGTGTCTGCTTGTGTTGACCAATTCATGTTTCGGTTCGGAGGAGCGCCTTGTCTCTGGTTTCGTTCGTTCCCTTCGTGTGTTGCTAGGAATAATACTTGTTGCTGGCATTCTGCTCTTGGGATTCTTC